AAGCTATAGTAATCTATAATTACTTAGGTAGTATAACTATTCTTAATATAGTAGTGCTAGCGGCGTAAGGCGTCCTTAATCGCGAGAAGTTCCTTCTTATAGATAGGGTAGTTAAGTTCTGCTGCTTAGAGCTTACGACCGTTAAAAGCGACCGGATAGAGCTTCCTATCGTCCTTAAGCTAGTATAGCACTACCCTAATAGCCTACTTACTTATATTAGTTTTAATAATAAAGGGCTTACTTAGGTTAGGGAGTGCTAGCACTAGGTAGCTGCATAATACCTTCTTAAGGGCTTCGAAGGAGATAGAGCATTATATATTCTACTTAATTAGGCGTTTCTTCTTAGTACGCAGAGTAAGGTTACTCTCCTTAAGGAGATCGCTTAATAGTGTAGCTATCCTTGCGAAGTCTCTAATATACTTGCGGTAGAAAGATGCTAGCCTAGTAAACTATCTTACTTCTTAAGCGTTCCTTAGGATTAGCTAATCTCGGATAGAGGCAATCTTGTCCTCTATAGGTCTTACTTAGTTATAGGAAACGTAATGCCTATAGAACTCGAACTCTTAGACTTTAATAGAGCACTTCTTAGGGGATGTAAAGAGCTCCTAGGCCCGAAGGGCATCTAACACCTGTTTTAAGTGCTATTCGTGTTCCTTAAGTGTTTTAGAGTACACGATAATATCGTCTAAGTATACTATAACGCTTTTATATAGCTAGTTAGCTAGAACATCGTTTATTAAGGACTAAAAGCTTAAAGGGGCGTTGCATAGCCTAAAAGGCATTACCTTGTACTCGTATTTACCTTAACGAGTGTTAAAGGCTGTCTTCTGTCTATCTTCTTCCTTAACTCGCATTTGCTAGAAGCCCGAAGTTAAGTCGATCTTGCTAAAGTATCTAGCTCCTTAAAAAGCGTTTAAGTAATCGTTAATACGAGGGAGAGGGAAGCGGTCCTTAATAGTTGCATTGTTTAAGGCCCGATAATCGACATATATTCGCTATTTCCCTCCTAGCTTAGGTACTAGTAATACTAGGCTACCCTAAGCTAAGTAGGAGCGAGCGATTAAGCTACGGATAAGAAGCTCCTTAATCTGCTTCTCTTGCTCTATTATCTGTACTTAAGATAATTAGTATAGCTATTAATTTACTAGCTTATAGTCGCCTATGTCGATAGAGTACTCTATTACTCTCTTTATAGGCAGCTTAGCTAGCAATAATAAGCGGAAGAGGTCTAAGTTAGTATTAATAAGCCGTTAGAGAGAGGCTTCCTTACTTAAGAGGGAGGATCGTCTCTAGGCTTAAGGGGTAGGTTTCTATCGGGCTCTAAGTCCGGGGGACGGATGTCTTCTATAGATATTAAGAAGAGAGGGAGATCTTAGTTCTATTTAAGGAGCTCTTCTAGCTCTTAAAGGGAACAGATATCTTCGTTAATAGTCTCCGTCGTTAAGTAGTAGAGAGCTACTCTATAGGGAACTACATATTTAGTACCCCTAACGTTTAAGTACAGCTTACTAGTCTAGAAGTTAATAGTTAGGTTATATTATCGGAACTAGAAGAGGCCTAAGATTACGTCGTATCCTCTTAAGTCGAGCACTCTCGCTATAAGGGTACTCTTAAAGTTCCTAAGCTAGTATAGAATCTCTATACTAGTTAAGCTTTCTATTAAGCGGCCGTTAGGGAGTTTAACTTACCTAATAGGAAGATCCACTTAATGCTAAGGGAACTAGGTAGTAATGTCCTTAGAGACGTAGATTCCTAAAGCTATAGTGTCGAATAGGAACTTAGCTAGGACTTAGGTGTCCTTCCCTAGCAAGCCTAGGGCTTAGAGAAGATTAGTCCTAATAGTATTTAAGTAATCGAAGCGAGCGTTAAGAGGCATCGAGAGTAAGGACAATTGCTAGGGCGATTTATTATCCTCCGATAAATCGTTACTTAGTTTTTTAACTAGGATGTATTACGAGCTTCCTAATTACGTTGCTTAGCCTTAAGTTCTAGCTTAAGCTACTTAGAGTATTTAAACTAGACATAGCTAGCTACTCCGCAGTTATAACACTTCGGAGAGAAGTTAGTCGAAGTAGGCTTACGTAAGTTGTCTTACCTAATACGTTAGTCTAAGGAGTTTAGGTGTTCTAACTGCTAACGGGTAGCTTTCTTCTTTCCTCTAAGGGCGCGATAGGCAGCTCGGTTAGAGCGATTACGTAAGCCTGCTTAATCTAAGCGAGGCTCTCTACGTTACTCCGTAATCTCTATATTAGCTATATTAGWTCGCTAGGCTTAGTCTACGATAGGCTTTAAGACAGACTTCTAAGGAGTTAAGCTAAGGCGAATAAGTTCTATACGGATCTTAAGCTTTAAGCTATCGTAAAAGGCTTAATAGATAGTAAGATTATCCGGCTTAGGCTAGAGAAGGCTAGAAGCTATTATTAACTTATAGTAGAAGGAGTTAACACTCCCTAGCTACTTAAAGCGGCGGAATTCCTTCTATAGCTTCTCTTAGTAGTAGTAATCCTAGAAGTAACTTTAGAGACCGTTAAGCATTATCTCTAAGGTATAGCTTCCTTAGTAGATAAGAGGCTTAAACTTAGTTTCCTAATCTTCCTACTAGGATAATAC